GGTTACGAAGCAAATGAGAAACAGCAAAACCTGTCTGAGCCAATGTCGATAAGGAAATAATACCTTCGGCGATTATCTTTAAAAATTTCCTGCATTCCTGTGGTTGTACTGTAAAGTTTGAGGAACTCAAATTAGAATCACATGTTTTTTGCACATTACTTACGGTTAAAAGCACTATCAAAATAGATTTCAGATACGTTTCCAAACGCAATAAACAATTTAAAATTGACCTAGTAGTTGTATAGGTAAAATGTGTTCTTGGAATTACATCTCGCGGTATAAATCGGTAGTTTTCGAAGCGAGCTATTAGGTTTCGCAGTTTTGGTGAGTTTGGGGTTAGATAGTCATGCAAATTTAATGAGCAAAATATAGGAACACCGATTAGACTCACGTAAATTGATTTTGCTTAGTGGTTCTCTTGATTTTCAATAGCATTTCGGAACAGAAAATATAATATTACTTCTTATATACATATTCTTGAATAGAGATTTCTTGCAATTTTTACTTTTTCTCCTTACTATGTGCGTAAGAGAAAGTTCTACAGCGGCGGAAATCTGCGATTTTTCGACAAAAAAAACAAAAAAACAAAAAAACAAAACAAAAAAAAAAGAAAAGAAAACAAAACAAAAAACAAAAAAAACGTACTGTCGTGTCTTGGTAACGAAAAAGTGGATAAATTGTGTTTCAATATGGAGTAAATTGCTTCCGCTAACACGTTGTGAAATCAGATTCCTCGTTTTGTGGGTCCAAGTTACCAAAAAATCGATTGACGGCAAAATGTCTGTCTGTCCGTTCGTCTTTGGTCAATGCCAGTGCCAAAACAGTTCAGAAGATTTTATCTAAAAATAATACACCCCGAAGGACATGAACGAACTCGAGGCCCAGCAAGTTTGGAGCAGATATTTTAGAGGTATTCTACATGAAGCCTCAAAAATATTTTCAATTTTTTCTCAAAAATGACGATTTTTTGATTATACATTGCCCAAGCATAACGTAAAGGGCGCAGGTCTCTCTCTGAACCACCCTCTATATTATTTCAGTAGTGGTTTTTGCGGGTCTCACACGCAATCTTTATAAATGAGGTCTCTAAAGAGAGATAATTACATGGAGATGTATTTGCATAATCATTAATTCAAGATTCTCTCACGCAGCAAAAACTAGAAATACTATTAATAGTTGCTTTGTTACCGATGAAGATTGTTTCTCGTGGGTGCTGTGAAAATATTCATTTAACGTTTTGTGGAGGGGGGCAGCATTTTAGCTGAATCCCGATTTTTATATCCCAAGCTTGTTAGCCCTGGGGGTATGGACGATGAGATCTAGACTGTTCCCATACACTCATGCCCGAGACGGGACTTCAACCCACGGTCTTCTGGTTCTAGACCACTAAGACACTACAGCCCTAACGATCTTGACCATCTAAACGGTATTTATTATTCAAACGTGAAAACATTAGTTATATTATTTTTTGGCTCGGAATTGCTTTTCTTGAGGTACGTAAGAACACTTGTTTTTTCGCATGGACAACTTAACTAGACTGTCTCAAGAGTAAAAACCTTGGAAATCAAGGAAGAGCGAAAAGCTGTCCAGGAAGATTGAATAATTACTTCAAAAGTTTTTAAGGAAGTGTAAATTATTCCAATAACATCTCTTGATAATAATGAATGAACCATTATTCAAAATTTGTTTCCAACATCTCCCAGCATTGTTTTTATTTTTGTTTGATATTCTGTAAGTACATATGGAGTTACATGTATACACTTTTTAAACAAATAAAGACGTTCCATTAATAGTTTTCTTTCTTAATGGAAAGGATAGGGAAAGGGTTTAACATGCGAGAGTTCTCGCAGGGGTACGCTAGTCTTTAATGAAATTTGAAATATGCGAGAAAGCTGTTTTTTAAAAGTAAGGAGGTAATCTGTGCGTCTGATGGTGTAGGGGTAACGTTCCTGGTGCGTTGATTCAAATGACCTTATTTTAAATCTCGGTAAAGAGAAAATAATGTTGATGGTAGAACACAATTTGCCAAGTTCATGTAGTAATATAATATTGCCTAGACGTTAAAAATAATGCGAGAAAGTATGTGCTGTTGTAGCATCACTATATTAAATTGCTTTGCGACCCTTCTAAATAAACTATAATTCGTACAATTAGCGTATAGGTTATATAGTGAAACATTTTTGACAACTATTGGAGATCGGAGATTCAGCCATAAAAATGTAAAGACAGATATACTACATAAAGATAATATATAATGACAAACGTCATAAAATATACAGACTTCTGAGAAAAGTAGTCCTAATCATCGATACACCAGCTGTTGGATTCTGTAAACGCAGTGCGTATAAGCGAGTAGAACAAATACCAAAGGAACTAAATTATATTTCTCTATGGGACGCGGGAACAATCACACACGGACTAAAAGTTGATCTGGCGGTCCCTCTAGAGTGTCCATAAAATCATTTTGCAGTCCCCTCGAGGATCGTCAACACCAGTTTGAGAAACTATTATTAATAATTAAGGGCATTTTGAAATGAAAACAAACATAGGTTCAGCATTAAAGAAATAAATCATGTTCTACTACTCACTATAATGAAATATTAATATGGGATCTTGATACGCCCTCGTCACTTGAGACTGAATACCTCTTGTCAAAATCAATAGGCTACTGCCAGCGTTTGAGTCTGCGCTTGTCACCAGATCACTTTCTATACCCTTAAGGGAGCGGTGTACATCTGTGCCTTTTATTGCCAAATTTGGTAGTATGAAATGCATACCTTTCAGTTCTACTGGCGATTGTGTGCATTTCTGAGACATACTTCTAAGAGAATATCGGGAAGAAATTCGTCTTGATTGGCTTTGAAAGTATTTGGACGTTTTCATATTCTCCCCCTTTGCCTATTTGCAAAAGTAGCCATTAATGAGTTAGATGAGGCAGACACACCGATGTCGACCAGACAGGGGTTAATATTTCATCAATTTATTGGCCAATTCTGCTGAGTGAATAGGGCCGTTTTGTCAATGCAACCGTGCACGAATTTTAACAGGAAGAACGTAGATCTTCATGGATCTCTATTCCTCCGACTAGGGATTGTAGATAGCGAAGGAGTTGTGAAGGTTTCTATTGCCTATTTTCCCACTGCTTAGTAATTGTTGCGAACGGCGTTTTTTTTGATGCAGCCTTCTTATATATTCAAGTTTCATCACACACATGCCATTGGTAGATGTTTTTCCTTATAAAATCTTCAACTTCCTATGCAACACGTCTTTCCAGATTAGCTACATGATAGACTTTAGACGACTCGAGGTTATACTTTTTTAAATAATCAATGCGTCGGAATGAGCGAACCATGGGCGGGTTTGAACTCTCAGAAAGTAGCCAATTGAATTCGTGTCGTTTTAATGGGCGGCGTGCACATTAGTTTCATCTCTGGAAGTTTCTTTTCTTTGGATTTACCTGTCTTTAAACCACAACGACTTTTTAAATACTTTATTACACTGCTAACTTTAGTTATGTTCCGGTTCGAACCATGCTGTTGCTGGACGTCAAACTTCAATCATTGAACTTTTTTCATCGGGTTTCTTTCGGTACAACTGACACATCAGGTGACCAGTTAAACTATGTTCTTTTATACTATAATACAAGATAGAGTTTATTACAGCAGTTATGATATACAACTGCTTATTTCATGTGCAAAGTGGTTATCTCTGACGTTAATAAGGAAAATCCTAACTGAAGAGGGCCTCTCCCACGCCCCCCATGGTCATCGCCGTCCGCGTCAGTAGGCTGTGCGTCACTGCAACATTATTTGCAAGTTAAATTTGTTGCAGATAATGTAATTTCCAGGTAGCTGAATCCAAAAATAAAAATACACATCTTAAATCAAAAATCTCATTTAACAAATTTACCTGAAATTGACGTTGCTAACAATTCCACGTATTGTATCAATAATATACTATATTATAATAGAAGTTAAAGATAAACGAAAATATACACTGCTCATGAATTAAAGGGTTGTGTTTCTGACTACTTTTTGTAGATTAGTAGAAACGACCCAACATTTAAAAACCAGTGGTGCTGGTGACACGAACCTTTTCGTACTAGTTTCTTTTGAGTCGGTGCTACCATTCCGGTTTTGTACACCCATGAAAAAGTCCTGGTGAAGAGGTCCCTCCCCGAATAGCACGTTACGGTAGCCCTTAGGCCAATCTTGGCCCTGTACCAACACCTAAATACCACTAGTAGTCTTCCCACTGGTAGCCCATGGTCCCACCTCGTTGATTGTACCGCTGTTAAGTGAAGCCAGATCCTCAATGGGGCACAAAGACCTCAAATATATTGATCAGGGCAAGAGATGATTAAAGGGTTAGGGTGAAGATAATCATTAGGCAGTGTGAATATTCCCAAGCCACTGGGCCATGCGATTTTCGCAAAGAGAATCGTTGTGTGTCTGCTAGAAGAAGGGGTCTGGAAAAGTCAATTTTTGCAGCACACACACTACGGCACTTAATGCCGCAAAAATAGAGAATACTTTAGAGAGACTAAAGGCAAGGTTACAACTACAAATACAATTGTACGATTAAATTTTCGTAATGTTTCAAAAACTAAAAATATTTTATGATTTATTTAAATTGTTGAAACCGTCAGGACTGCTGCCTAACGCGAGAAAAAATTGTAAATTATTTTCATTCTGAATCTTCAGTCATACACAAATGGAGACCAAGTGTAAGCTCTTGCATTCTGCAAGTCATTGGAACATAAATGCAATGCAAGCCTTTTATAAAAGTTGTGATTCCGAAGACAAAATCGTTTTCCTTGTGCTTTCCACAACCGCGAATTGCGCCTTCTTACCCCCTCCCCTTTCTGATCAATCACAATAGTACACCACCTCAAACATACAACACGCGAACACTCTGATTAGCATGCGACACTAAATAGCGAAAGACACACAGCCGCAAACTACCTTGCGAGTGATCGCCTGTGAAATGTGCACGCTCACCTCTTTCCAGGCAGCTGGTGGCAGTTGACGGCGCGCGACATCAGCACGGCGACCATCGGCCGCAGCGCTTTGCCCTGGCCGTCGAAGTAGTAGGTGGCGATCCGGCTCAGCTCGGGCTGCGACGTGTTCAGCTCCAGTTCCTGCGGACACACGCCTACACATGCACTGGTGTCTGCGCCCTCACTCGCCAGCACCCCCCACCCCCCACACGCAACGGTTGCATTCGAAGCTCAAACTATCGACAAACTTAGGTCTAGTAAAGTAAGATGTGGAATAAGTATTTGTAAAATGCATAGGTACGAACTGTTTAATATTTTCAAAGACAGTGAGTGGATATAATGTTGAAAATGTACAACTACATGAAACAATTACGCCATATACTTTCAAGGACGGAAAAATTTAACGAAGTTCACACTGTCCGAAATCAATATTTTCTCACTTCAGCAGACAGGTTAATACTTGATTACAAAAATAGACATACTTTACAATTTAAGTTATATATAAATTATATATATATATATATATATATATATATATATATATATATATATATATAATTTAATTGAACTTCAAGATTAGTTTAAAATCAAATTGGGTTATGTTTGATTTATCCAGGATCTTTACGAAGACGTACAACGTTAGAGCAAAGTACACAAACCTGGGCCCGGTTCCTAATGCGAGCACCTTGAATAGTTGCCCTGTAGAATGCTATTTATTGCAAATTGGAAACGTAGTAACATTGTAGTTCTTTGCAAGACCACAACCCAATCAAAAGTTAGGGTCCTAATATTCAATGCGGCCGGACAGTACTCCATTAATGCGAGCAGTGAAAAGCGAAGTTTTTTGACGTGCTTATTCTCAGTTTCCTGATTTTGATATTTCATCGGTAATTCTTTTAACCATTACATTACTTTGAAGGGGTATTGATATAGAGTAAAGCAATTTATTTTACTTGCCTTGAAAAAATGTTATTAATGTTTGGATTATAAACACGCTGGTACCTAATCCGAGCCCCCCAAAGTTTCCTAACGCGTGCCGCCACTGTTTCGTCTTGTAAAATAAAAACAATTACAGGTTTTTGGCACTTCTTATGACTTAGAAGGTTACTAAAAAGCAAGAGCCTACTCTGAAGTCTATCAGTTCGAGAGGGCAGGAAGAAGAAAATCGAGATGAGAGAGGTTTAAGAGAATCCCGATGTTAAACAAAAGCAAAAAGAGAACTACACACGGCGAGGAATCGAACATGCCCTCTGGCTCTTCCGAAGTGGCAGTTCTAACAGGGATATCTTCCCTCCCAGGTGAAGAAAATGAAGAGTGCATGTTTTGCAGTACATTAAAATGCTTAGACGGAAAAAAATGGAGTAGGAGAAAAATGGGTGATGCGCCTGACTCATGTAGAATGTGTGGGGTCGGAAAAATATTTTTTTACACGAGAGGTTTGTCGTAATACATGTGCATATACATATACATATACATATATATATATATATATATATATATATATATATATATATAATTTATTTATTTAAAAGGTAATTATTACAAACAAATTTAGCTTACTTGATCCTATGTGGCTAGGCCGAAGGCCTTGGAACCTGGGTATTGTAATGGCTTAAAGGCCTTCGGCCTAGCCACATAGGATCAAGTAAGCTAATTTGTTTGTAATAATTACATATTATATGTAGTATGTAGTGTATATTATATATTTATATATATACACTACATAGAATATGTGCAAGACATAGGACAATTTCTTATGTATAAGATGTTTAACTTGTATGTTTGTGAAATTTTACTCAGTCCAATCTGTTTGTTATTTAATCTATTTTACCCATTTCTTAAAACACTGCGAGGGGCTCACATTAGAAAACCTTTTTTTAAATATCCACAAAATATAATGTTTACGAAAAACTTATTTTATTCTTAAACTATTCTAAACTAAGATAAGAATTACATATATTTTGGTTACATATACTAATATTGTGCAGAAAATTGGAATTAGAAACACTAAAATAAAATGGGTGACGGGGTTTGGGTACTTTCCTCTATAAGTCTTTCGTTTCTTACTAATAACCAGTCCAGTTCAACATTACTGGATCTGAAATTCATTGGTATCAAAGAGCACATTTAAAAAAGCAGATCAAGACCAAAAATGCAAAGAAAAGATAACTAAAGAAAGATTTGAAAGTACGGATGTTTCATGTTTTCTTTTAAATATCTAGAAAATAGGAAAGTTTAGCGGCAACATCAATATTTATGAAATCATCCATCGCAATAATCCATCGCCATATGCATGGCCATGTATTAACGAATTAAAAATGACGTGTTAAATTTTCTGTGCTTCCTTTTGCTTGTCAGAACATTTGTCGTTTTGAAACACCTATCTCTATACTACGTTTTGTAAGTTGGAATAAAAAAGACCTCCTCCTTTCGAACGGCGGTAATAACCGCAAAAAGGGTTGGTTCAAGGCAGTAGGACTAAGGGCAATATTTTCTTTTATCCGGAAGTCTTCGTACTTGTTGCGTTGTGATTATTAACGATTCATCGAGGCGCGTCGTTATATGCCAGGGCCACTCCTTTCACCCGAGTGCAGACAATACTGGGCATCGCCTATTCACAGTAGCGCGGAGAGCCACGTTGGCCTCCCAAGCTCTGGCGGGCAGCAGCCTTGCTGCACGTAAACAAGGCGACGAAGGCTCTCCGCACTTTCGACGGGGAGGAGCAACCTTCAAATGAGACGGTGAAGGCGAAGGGAGGGGCGGCGTCGGAAACAGCCGCCGTCATTCCTCTCAACAGGAGCTACGTTCATCTTTTCGTGACTACTGATTTCTGGTTTCCAAATTGTTATATCAGGATTGCTTCCAACAGTGTTCACGCAGCCAGTCCGGATGGCCGAGATCGTTAAAGCAGTATGGCGTAGCGATCTCGGACTGAAGGATCGCGGGTTCGAGTCCGCCTCGAGCACGGTTGTATTTGTGTTCGCCCTTTCACCCCCTGTCATCATCATATCATGTCATCTTCACAGTTACCATACCGTTAAATGCAACAGCGGGCGTGGTCGTTAATGACCTAGATGTTGATGCAATATTAAATAAAAAAAGAAAAGTGTTTACGCAATACTCAGTTTAAATATGTACTCATAATTGATGCATCTCTCGTTTTGAGGCCTATTTTATTAAACGATTTCCCAATACATAATCTTTCGTTCAACTCAAAATTCTCTCTTAATTTTGTATGATAACTCGGAACAAAAAATTACCATATTATCTAATTCGTGCATGGCGATCTCTTTCCTTTTTTCGACTGCTTTGTGACTGTTTCAAATAAAATACAATTAGCATTTAGGCTACTTTTAGTAAATCATCTTCAATAAACTTTGAGATCTGAGATATAGACATAAAAACAAAGATATAGATATAGATGCACTACATAAAAAGAAGCACGTAACTGAAACGCAAACGATTTTGACTTTTCACAAAATGTGAAGACGTTAGCGACAGTACTCCTTAATCTTCGATACACACGCTGCTGGATTCCCAGAACTCAGTGTGCTTCAGTAACAAATCTCAGAGAAACTACATCAGATTCGTCCACGGGTCGTAACAACCAGTGGAATTGCCAATAGCACAAAATTTCACCTGGTGGCCCTTTCAGGGTCTCTCTAAAATCGTTTTGCGGTATCAACGAGAACGAGAACAGAGTTTCAGAATCTATAATTAACAGCGAATAAAAATTTTGAAATGAAAAGAAACATATTTAGTATTAAAGAAAGTAATTTGTGCTCTACTATTCATTACAATGAATTATAAATATGGGAGTTTGATGCCCACCAATCGGGACAAATGACGCGTCATTCGACTAGTCTAGGCTTCCTGGTAGGGGACTGATATGTTTTTGCGGATTCATTCCTAAAATTTTTACCCGTTTATTTATTTTTTCGTTTTTTAAGCACCTAAAAGTGTTTCGAATGTCATACGGAACATACAGAGGTGATAAAAGCTCATTCGATTCTTCTTTACAAGGTAAATTGATGGCACACTCTTAGCGGATATTTCTATGATATTCTGGTCTAACACGTGTATGGGCCACAATAGTCGTCAAATACATACAATTTTGATATGAAGCGTGACTGTGAATTTTTGGTGTGACGTCAAACCTCTTCACTGAAAGGATACTTTGTCTCTTTGATACAAAAGTTTTTACACGAAAAACAAAAAAAGTGAATGTGAGAGAGGCTCCGAAGGTGTTTTTGCGGGACTGCTCGCAAAGTTGTGTTCGAAGGTGTTTTTGCGGTTAATGCTCGCAAATTACGAAGAATCAATATGTTGCGAGGACAATATAATCGTATTTCAAGAATACGTATAATCGTCAGGACTTGCTATACCACCCTGTCACTTCAAAAGAACACAACAAAAGCAGCAGATTTCCATGCAGAAAAAAAATACAAAAGTGAAAAGGTCACACAAAGTCGCGAAATGCGAAACACTTGTCCGCCAGCCACATCAGCTCCAGAGCGCCGTGTTGCCCCGCGTTGCGTCGTGCGCGCCTCAAGGTCCAGTGTGTTTGGGAGAGCGGACGGAGGGAGGCCTCTCCGTTGCGCCACCGGAGATTAGCAGCGGGCGGACGTAACTCTGCACCGTAACGAGCCAATTTCTCCAGCGCTCTCGGCCTCCACCTACACATCGCTCATTGATGGTAATGAAGACACAAGCGTCCGCTCTTTGGATTTCTCCCATCTGCAGCAAGTCATCCTGACCTTCGGGTGGACATTCGAAACATGACGGATGTGGGGGAGAGGAGCAGAAAGTTGCAATCGCTTTTCGGCAACCTCTTAGAATGTGTATTTCCCCAATGTTTAGAATTACTCTCGAAAGTACATTATTATTTTTGTCTCGCAGTTTGTCAGTAAAGCAGATTGAAATCAAATGAAACTAATTCAGTGGGGAAATAACTTAATTTTGAGCTCTTTCAGATACATCGTACGTCTTACTATCAAATTTACGTTTAGCTGGTCTTTTAAATTCATTCTGAATATTACCAAAAATAGATCATCTTTAGAATATACTTTCCATGTATATACGAATTGAAACCTAAGAGTTTCCAGAGCTGCCAAAAGAAGTCATTTCCAAGTTTATTCACC